AAGACACATTTCTGTGTTCCAAGAGACTCCTTATACTTGTTAGAAGACCAATTTCTGTGTTCCAAGAGACTCCTTATACTTGTTAGAAGACACATTTCTATGTTCCAAGAGACTCCTTAAACTTGTTAGAAGACCCATTTCTGTGTTCCAAGAGACTCCTTTTACTTGTTAGAAGACCCATTTCTATGTTCCAAAAGATTCCTTATACTTGTTAGAAGACCAATTTCTGTGTTCCAAGAGACTCATTATACTTGTTAGAAGACCCATTTCTATGTTCCAAGAGACTTGGTCGTCAGAGATTCTTTTTCTGTAAATACGTTATTACATTTTTTCTGTAAGAACTTTTTTAAAATCATGCCATTGTTTAATAGGAAACTCGTCAGAAAATTTCAGTTCTATATAGAATGTACTCCACTGTAAAAATCAACAAAACATTTAAAGTATTACACTGTTGTTATTAAGTTTTAGTAAGTAACGTTTCAAGAAATTTATAAAGATTTTTGGAATCCCTAATTTTCTGTATAATTACATAGTTGTTTCTAAGATGTGATAATAGATGGCGCCAGTGTATACATGTATGTTTCTGCCACAGGTATATTTTAATTGAAGTTAGTAATGTTGATGTAAAAAAACTAATAATTTATGATTAGGGATCTGATGTTATTCCATCGAATATATGGCCATCGGTGGCTCTACCGGAAATCTAGGGCTTGTAATGTTAAAAATCGGGTTTCCATACCCGTAATTGGCAGAACACGAATAACCATTTGGGCTTAAGTACAAACAAACATTTTTTATCATAAAAATGAAGTTAATAAAAGTTCCCATCGTATTACAATATAACAAATACAGTTAGTATATAGGAAAAATAATATATTTTTTTTAAGTTTAAGTGATTTAATCAATGAAAATTTATTTCATAACATCAACACATTCTTTACTGGTCTTAACGCGTCTCGGTTGTTAGAGTACTGTACTGACATCTCGTGGTTCGCGTCTCCTCACTGCAGCCCAAAACAAAGTCATACTTTGCACTCTGGGGGGGGGGGCTGGAAGTTTGATTCATCTATGTTGTCCAACGAGAGTTGGTGGTAGGTTATATTAACTAGCT